TGGGCCAGTGGCTACGCCTCGGTGCTGCCGTCCCTGCGGTCCGCAGGACTCACGCACCTCATCATCGTGGACGCTCCTGGGTGGGGACAGGACGCAGCGAGCATCGCACAGCAAGGGCGTGTCGTTTTTGAGGTAAAACCTGTTGTCGACCTATTAACAGAGTCTCCACCTAAACAAAAGGAGCAATAGAAAACTTACTTTTTAACATGCACTCATTTGAGGCGTGTGCCATGTTCATCGCATGAATTTCATTCGTTCTTCTTTTGCGCTGATGAACTGTCAATTATTACCTGCAATTACATCTTATTCCGAAACGAGGGGTGAACAAAATCGCATCTCGATACCTTCGTAATAGTTGAGACCTTTAAGTTTACCCCCCTACAACCTTTTAACAACAGATGCAGTAGGGACACCAAATTGGAGCCGAGATTGGCCTTACTGCGAGAAAGGCTTGGCCGAACGACCGCTGCAGAAAAAACCTGGGCCGGCGGTAGGCTGCTAAGACTCAGATAGGAAAAGTCCAGCAACTGAGTCTTTCTTAGCAGCCTCCCGACGGCCAACCCTTTTTCTGCAGCGATCGCCCGGCCAAGCCTTTCTCGCAGTAAGGCCAATCTCGGCTCCAATTTGGTGTCCCTACTGCATCCGTTGTTAAAAGGTTGTAGAGGGGTAAACTTAAAGGTCTCAACTATTACCATACGATGCAATTAATACGGTGATGCCTCTGAGCTATCCTGAGTTGGGCCACGGATGGAATGACGGCGTGTTCTCAGATCGAGAAAAACCAGCAGAGGCGCTTGCGCGGCTTGCGTTGACCACACGCAAAATAAAGTTAGCTGTGAGAGCTAATAGTATTAGCTGGATACGGGACAGCTAATAATATTAGCTGTGGTAGCCAATAAAAGTGTGGAGCGGCAGGTTGTCAGAGTCACTTCTGGACGCTAAAATTAGTGCCGCTCCAGCTAATCCAAGAATTAGTCGTGACTATAAATCAAGTTTTGCTCCTACAAGTAACCATTTTATCTCTCAGAGGAGAGCGTGCTATTAGCTCGAAACGACATAACGCCACACCCACAGCAACAAATTATACATGCTAGTGCTGCAAAACCTCTATTAGCTCTCAGAGCTAATATACCAATGCACTCACAGGAAAAGGTCAGCTTCCTCCGATAGCAATGACCGTGTCCCATCGAGCGGAGACTATTAGGTGTAGAAGCTAAAACTATTAGCTGTCCCGAATCCAGCTAACAAATTAGCTCTGAGAGCTAAACTTTAGCTAAGCCAGCAAATCATTTTTTTTTTTTGCGTGCAGTGCCGGGTGAGGGGAGAAGGGAGAAGGGGCGGAATGCACGGTGCACCGCTTCCAACTCCCCTCGCCCGGCCCCGGCATTGGTCGACGCCAGCCCCTGGCGGCTCCTCTGGAACTAAGAAACTACTGTCATTTCGTGGCTGGCTCCTAGCATGCTCAAGGCCAGAGAGCCGACGCCGACAGACTTCACAATCTTGCTGTTGTTCTCTTTTTGCCGTTTCTCAAAATGTTTCTCTAACCATACAGGCGGATCCCGAGCGCAATTTGATCTTCTCGATCCACATGTATGAGGTAGCTGCCCCAGATGCTGCGACCGTGAGGCGCCACATCGACAACAGTCTGGCAATTGGTGTCCCCGTCATTATTGGCGAGTTCAGCGACCGCCAGAGTGGCAAGCCCGTCGACTACAAGTCCATCATGCAGTACTGCTCGGAGCGATCGGTTGGATGGCTAGCATGGTAGGTATCTTCGAAATTCACGCAGAATAACGTAGCTTTTACTTCTGATCAGTGGGGATCCGAAAAGGTAGGGGAGGGTGTGGAACTGTCAGGAAAAAAGCAGAAAAAAAATCGAACATTTGCTCATTTTGAGCACCGGGCCCGGGACCCGGGTGAAAGAATTACCTGAAAAGACTCGGCTGATTTGTTACGCGCCAGAGCTATTTTTTAGCCGTTCAGTAGACTGTTTTACTTTGGAAGGTCAGGTGTTCAATCATGCTGGGGCGCATTGAAAATGAAAGTATAGTCAATTCTAAGGATAAGGGCCGCTGTCCGTGATTTTTGCGACCCCTGAAACCACACGCGCCTGGCAGTCACATTCAGCGGATACCGCGGGTGTCATGTTTTAGGCCCCGCTGTAGCGAAAGGAGGCCACTTCTGACTTTGCGAATAGCGCTATGACCATCGATACCATTTTATTGTATCACAGGATTCTTGTCTGGGCTATGAAACGCCCACAGTGAATTTCACGAAAGGGGTTGAAACGGGGTAGCAAAAAGATGGGTTGGGTTAGACGATTACCGTTTATGTATTTTCAGCTCGTAGGGGCCTTGCATTCATCATCCTAGAATCTGATGTGAGCTTGTTGCTCTCAATCTGCATGTCGTATAACGTTTTGTTAGCTTAAGCAGTTTCATCTAATATAGTTTTGCTTTTGACAGGTCTTGGCATGGTAACAATGAAGATACGGCTAACATGGATCTTTCTCGTGGTGTCAATGGTGGCCTGACTTCTCTCGGAAGTGAAATTATCTACGGAGCACATGGAATTCAAAGCCAGTCCAAAATCCCTAACATCTGGTAGATGACCTGATTGGTGTTCAATAAATCACTCTCAGTACAAGAAAACACTCTGTACTTGTCTGTCCCATACTCTAACCTACTTACTTAGGTTCTACGTGAGGGGAAGACGTCTTCGCCGATCCCATGACGGCCCTTAGGGCATTCCACTTGAAGGTTTGAAGGCAGGGATCATATAGGTCTCTACTTTATTTTAAAGTTAAGATCTAATTACTGCCCTGAACCAAAGTAGTACCGTTGCACAGTGACTTAAATTTCTATCGCTGTACTGCCCGAAAGCGAGCTGCAATCCTGAACGTCCCGCTGCAGGCGCCCTCTGGTGGTAGCTGCGCACGGTCGTCTGGCTGCACGACATAAAAAGGAACAAGCAGGCCCACCCTTCCGCCAAACGTAGTTGCCAGCTCCGCTTTGCTCCGCCGGCAACTCCGTTCGGCAGGGGCCGGGCCTGCTTGGCCTGCCGGCGGCGATGGTCGGACCTGCGGCCCGACCATTTCTGTCACGCGATTTGCTGGAGAACATGATCGAATGATGTAGCGGGCCTTCGGCCCGCTGAAACCCGTTGTCTTTGAGTTTGCCCCAAAGACTCGAGAAAGTGATGTGACGGTGAAGCACCACGACTACAACCCACCTTTCTGCTTTGAAAACGCTTTTTGGGGGTGGGGGGAGAGTTTCCTTTCTATTTTGCGGGTTTTGGGCCTTTTTCTACAACTTACTGTTCACTGGCAATTTTTAGCTTATTTCCGTCAGAAAAGACCCTCTAGCGCCTAAACGGTTAGAGATAGAGCAAAACGGACGAAATTTTCGGTCAGGAGGAATCTACTTTGACGGGTTACCGCTTAGGAGCACATAATGAAAGAATAACTTTTTGGGAGAATTTTTGAACCTTGGATACCCCCATTCACACCCTTAGGGGTGGTTGCCAGGATTTGCCGTAGGTGTTTCGTTCTCTAGGAGTGGACCTTCAGATACCCTGAAAATTTCAAGTCTCTAGCACATCTCATTCTAGTGGAACAGACAGACACACAGACGCAGACACACACGAGATCGTTTGCATAAGCCCGCTGGATAACTTTTTCAAAGCAGAAGGGCGGGCTAAAAAAGGACAAATTTGTTGATTTAGACATGAATTTTTGTGCTTATCTTGCCGAAATGCCAACGCGCTTGTTTAATTATGGCAACTTTGCATCCCTCCCATGGACAAAATCATATTTTGGCCAATCATAGAATGCAAATGAGGTATTTTCCGAATTAGAAGAACAAGAGGAATATCGTCTGCTCCCCATCACAAAGCCTCGACCAATCAGAGACGGCCTTTCTGGAGCCGGCCACGAAAGAGGCCGAGAGAGGCTCTCTCTGATTGGTCGAGGCTTTGTGATGGTCCGGCAGCAGACGATATTCCTCTTGTTCTCCTAATTCGGAAAATACCTCATTTGTAACTTGCATGATAAAGAATCAAGAACTACCAAAGAGTTGAACAAAAATTCATCTTTCTCGCAACAAAAAATTGCCGTTTCGATTTAGAATGCAGGTGGATCATACCTAGTATACATAGGTAATCTTCGATTAAATCATTTGTAATCTTTACAATTTGGTAATCCGGTGTACACATTTTTATGGAGTTAGGCACCCCTCGGGGAACTCTGTACCCTGCGTTGCTCTCACCTTTGCTGACGAGGAGCGATGTCGAGCGTGCAGCGCTCGGACCCCCGGGCGTCAATGTCGTCATGGTGCTGGAGTCGAGTCAGGGCAGTAGTCAGGAGCCTACCCCGAGACCGTGACCGCGGTCAGAGAGGTGGCGTAGCGAAAGCCGAAAACCTTGCGTCAATGTGACGTCACCGCGGAAAACTGGCCTTTTTCCGGACCAATTTTCCGGACCATGGAGGGCGCGCGCGCACACACGCACACGCACACGCACACGCTCGCTCACTCACTCACTCACTCACTCACTCACTCACTCACTCACTCACTCACTCACTCACTCACTCACTCACTCACTCACACACACACACCTTTCGGGTTCATTGAACACGACGCAGACGGAGGCGGCCGTTACTTGACACGAAGTGCGCCCAAACACACAAGATGACAACAGGAGGTGCGCGGCCGATGCGGCGGCCGCGGCGGCTTGACCCGTCCAGCTCGGCTGCTCTCAGCTGACTGCCGCTCAGCGCGCGTGTCTGTCTGTCTGTCGACTCTTCTGTCCGCTCGCCTTGCTCACGCATCCGTCAGGGCTCAGGGGCGTACTCAGTAGGGGTCGACTGAAAGGGGGTGGCGTACAGCCAGTGGCGTACAGCCAGTGGCGTACAGCCAGTGGCGTACAGCCAGTGGCGTACAGCCAGTGGCGTACAGCCAGTGGCGTACAG